GGGGGAGAGGAGAGGAGTTTTCCTGGTTGTGCCCAGAGTGGCCACCAGGGGAACCTGGGAAGGGCTAGCCTCCCACTAGTTCGAATTAAGTGGCTACACAGCCCTTAATTCGAACTAGTTAATTCGAACTAGGCGTTAGTCCTCGTAGAATGAGGTTTACCTAGTTCGAATTAAGTGCTCCGCTAGATCGAATTAAGTTCAAACTAGCGGATCGCTAGTGTAGCGCCTATCAAAGTTAATTCGAACTAACGGCTGTTAGTTCAAATTAATTTTGTAGTGTAGACATACCCCCAAAGTGGAGCAACCCTGGGGACCACTCGAAGAAGAAGAAAGTTACCTTGTGCAGTTATGGTGGTTCTTCGAGATGTCCCATGGGTGCTCCACTACCCTTCCTCCTTCCCCTGCTTTGGAGCCTTGCTCTCTAGTGGGTAGAGAAGGAACGGAGGAACCGCACCATGCAGGCGCCTCAGGATCCCCGCGGCACTAGGGGGTGATGGGGCACCTGCGTGGCACGGCAGAAACTGCTGGATAAAGTCTCCGGCCACCGGCGCGAGGACGCACCAGCACCCAGAGTGGAGCACCAATGGAGACACATCTCAAAGAACCACCGTTACTGCACAAGGTGAGTAACTCTTTCTTTCCCCACCAAGGGCTGTCTACCTCCTTCCCAAAGTGTGTTGCCTAGTGCCTTAGTCTAGAAGCTGACCTTGTCTGTGAAGGCAGATGCAAAGAAAGCATTGAGTACTTCAGCTTTTCCCACATCTGTCACTAGGTTACCTTCCTCATCCAGTAAGGGCCCCACACCCTCTCTGATAACCCTCTTATTGCTAATGTGCCTGTAGAAACCTTTCTTGTTACCCTTCACATCCCTTGCTAGCTGCAATTCCAATTGCGCTTTCACCTTCCTGATAACTCTGCATTCTCGAGCAATATATTTATACTCCTTCCTAGTCATCTGTCCAAGTTTCCATTTCTTGTAAGCTTCCTTTTTGTGTTTAAGTTCACCAAGGATTTCCCCAGTAAGCCAATCTGGTTGCCTACCATATTTGCTTTTCTTATTGCACATCAGGATGGTTTCTTCCTTTACCTTTAATAAGGCTTCTTTAAAATACTGCCAGCTCCCCTGGACTCTTTTCCCCTTCATGTTGTGTCCCAGGGTATCCTGCCCATCAGTTCTCTGAGGGAGTCAAAGTCTGCTTTTCTGAAGTCCAGGGTGGGTATTTTGCTACTCTCCTTTCTTCCTTTGGTCAGAATCCTGAAATTTACCATCTCATGATCACTGCTTCCCAGGTTTTCACCCACCTCTACTTCCCCTACTAGTTCCTCCCTGTTTGTGAGCAGCAAGTGAAGCTGCGCATGGCCTCTGGTTGGTTCCTTCAGCACTTGTACCAAGAAGTTATCCCCAACATTCTTCAAAAACTTCCTGGATTGCCTGTGTACTGCTGTATTGGTCTCCCAACAGATGTCAGGGTGATTGAAGTCCCCCATGAGAACCAGGGCCTGTGGAAGCTTCTCTCAGTTGTCTGAAGAAAGTCTCATCTACCTCATCCACTTGATCCGGTGGTCTATAGCAGACACCAACCACAACATCACCCCTGTTGCTTCCACCTCTAAATTTATCCCATAGACTCAACGGCTTTTCTCCCTCTATATACTGGAGCTCTGAGCAATCATACTGCTCTCTGACATACAATGCAACTCCTCCTCCTTTTATCCCCCACCTGTTCTTCCTGAACAGTTTATACTCTTCCATGACAGTGCTCCAGTCATACGGGTCATAACACCATGTCTCCATTATTCCAATCAAATCATAGTTTTTTGACTGGGCCAGGGCTTCTAATTCTTCCTGTTTGTTTCCCAGGCTTCTCGCATTTGTGTACAAACATCTTAGATAACCAGTTGATTGCCCTACCTTCTTCATTTGAATCAGGGGTGCTCCTTTGTTGCTCGTTCCTCTTTTTGTTTCTTCCCGGTATCCGACTTACCCACTTGCCTCAGGGCTTTAGTCACTGTCCCCCAGTTAAAACTAGTTTAAAGCCCTTTTCACTAGGTTTGCAATCCTGCCCGCAAAGATGCTCTTTTCTCTCTTGGTTAGGTGGATCCCCTCTCTTCCTAACAATCTTTGTGCCTGGAACAGAGTCCAATGGTCAAAGACACCAAAACCCTCTCTCCGATACCACCTACACAACCATGCATTTACTTCCTCAATTCAACGATCCCTACCTGGATCTTTTCCTTCAACAGGGAGGATGTACAAGAATACCACTTGCACTTCAAATTCCTTGATACTTCTTCCCAGCACTACATAATCTGTGACTCGCTCAAGGTCATTTTTGGCTGTATTGTTAGTTCCTACATGGAGAAGCAGTAAGGGGTAGTGATATGAAGGTTTGATCAGTTTCGGAAGAGTCTCGATCACATCCTGAATGTGAGCTCCCAGTAAGCTGCACACTTCGAGATTCCAGGTCTGGATGTCAGATGGATTACTCAGTCCCTCTTGGGAGGGAGTCCCCGATCATCGCCACCTGTTGTCTTTTTTTGGGGTGGGGGCGGTCGTGGAACCCCCATCCCTAGGACTACATATCCCATGCCTTCTGGTGGATTGTGTACCCTTCTGATTTCTTCCCTGAGAGGTTTCTGCCAAAGCATTCTCCACCACAGTGCCTGTGGAGAGATTCTGAAAGTGTTTACTTACCTTTACAGGAAATTTGGTTCCCCCAATCCTTTTTCTGTAATCCGCTTGAACTGATCTTCCTTTCTGGCAATTCACATCCTCTGAGGCTTGTACTACCTCTGTCTCTCTCCTGACCTTCCTGAATTCACACCTCCTTGACTTGACTGTCATTTCCATTCTCACTTATTTCCACCCCTTTCATTTCTCTCTCCCTGGCTAGCATTTATCATTTAACTCCATGAAATATCCTGGGGGACAGTTTGTATGAAAGAACCTTTACAAGGTGCTGAGTTTCTTCTGCTAAGTGCTGTGTACCCTCATCTTCCACTGAAGCTTATGGGAGCTGAAAGTGCTTATGAGATCAGAAGCTAAAGCGGCTCAAGACATTTTGCTGTGTAATTTGGGAACCGAGGCCTTGATTCAGCAAAATAGGTAAGCACATGATTTCAATGAGATTAAAGTATGTGATTCAAGTTAAGGCTGTGTATAAGTGCACTGCTGAATTGGGGCCTATATGCTTACAAAAATCTATGGCTCAAAATGAAATATGGTGCCAAAAGGCAAGATATCTGGTTTTTGATGAAGTTGTTCCTTAAAAGAACTTGAACCAACATTATTTTCTTACAGATGAAAGAGGAGAGGATCACCTTAGGGCTGCGAAACTTAACCTAGTGGATCTGGCTGGAAGTGAGAGGCAGTCCAAAACTGGAGCTACAGGAGAGCGTCTCAAAGAGGCCACCAAAATTAACCTCTCTCTCTCAGCACTGGGCAATGTCATCTCAGCTCTGGTAGATGGCAGGTGCAAACACATTCCCTATCGAGACTCAAAGCTGACCCGGTTGCTGCAGGACTCCCTTGGGGGAAATACAAAGACCCTCATGGTGGCCTGTCTGTCTCCTGCTGATAACAACTATGACGAGAGCCTCAGCACTTTGCGCTATGCAAACCGGGCAAAGAACATCAAGAACAAGCCCCATATCAATGAGGATCCCAAGGATGCTCTGCTAAGAGAATATCAGGAGGAGATCAGGAAGCTGAAGGCAATTTTGGCTGAACAGATGAATACAAATAATGTGTCAGGTACAATGCACTTGAACTGTTCCAGAATTGCTATATCATTAGCCAGAAAATTACACCGTTAATATGCAGGGTGCACATTGGCATTTCTCCCCAACCTCCCTCCTATTTGTTGGGGAAGGCTCTTTTCAGTCCAACGCCAGCAGCTTTGTCCTTTGGATAAGATGGGGGTTAGAGTGGGAACAGCCTGTTTTTTGGATGGGATGGGTATAATATAGGAGGTTTCTGAAGCACTGCTAGAAGGGTCAAGTCAGGGCAAATTGCTTAGAGATGGAGCTGCTTACAGCCCAAGACTGTGATCCTCCACTATAAGGCACACCGAACCAGCATGTTCACCACTCAGGCTAGCAAAAAGTCACATAAGTTCTCCCTAGACATTCCAGCTTTTCTGTGAACCACTTCTTACACAGATGAGATGTTATGAAAACCAGTCTCACCAAATCTGAATAGGTTCTTCTGATCCCAAAGGAAAAAATAAAAGGTTGAGAGTAAAATTGTTAAAAGAATTAAATTATGTACACCAATTACAAAATTCTTGGTGCAGGCTTGTAGCAGAGATTAAGTAATCTCTGGAATACATCCTTTGTTAAGATAGGTATTTAGTCCTTTCAGGCTCAGTTCATAGCAAAGATGTTCTAGAAGAGATGAGCTGGAATGAAGACAAAAATAGAGGAGCCCTCAGGGCTCTCTTTTTACCTTTGCCTATGTGTGAAAGCATGTCCCAAGATGCAGTTTGTCACTTGAGCAAGTCACCTATCCATGCATGACACAGTCCTTTTTAGGTAGCAGCCATGGCTTACATGATGGTCTGAACACACTGCAAAGTTCCTCAGATATGGATTGACACCTATTCAGGCTCATTGTCAGGGAAATACTGCTATTCAGTTGACTAGCAACTCTTTTACAATAAGTTGGCCAAGTCCCCTGTTGAAGCAAACATTTGAAATACAAATACATAGCCAATACTCATAACTTCAAATACAAAATGATACATGCATATGAATAGTTTAAACAGAATCAGTGAATCATCAGCTTTCAATAGACTCCTCATTTGGCCCATTTTGTACAAGATTTGTACAATTTTGCAACAATGTTTTGTAGGTTTATATTACAATCCAATAATGTCAGAGTGGGAACTTTAAGAAGGAGAGCAGCTTCTAGAACCAATCCTCCACACTCCTGGATCAGAGCAACCCTTTCTGTAGGGAGTAAGACTAGGGCCTTTCTTTCCTTTCGCTACCCCAGCCAGAAGCAGCCTTCAAGAGAGCAGGCAATGTCCATGCCCCATTTACCTCTTTCCTACTATTGATCTTCCCCTCCCAGGCCCGGGGATATATTAGGTTGCCACATTAGGTGGCCTCATTTCATTTGCTATCACATGGGTATTCTTGACTTTTCTCTAGAAAATGAGATAAGTCTGCCCAATGAAGGGAGCTGCACAGGGACTATGAAGCTTGAAACATTTACAAGATTATTGCTCTGTTCAACCATACCTCTTGCTTACATCCCTGCAGCTTTACACTGGGGTAAATAGGTAGCATTCTCCAGCAGTTATAGCAGGGGATGAGGCATCAGGACTTGAGGTTCTGTTCTCAGCTCTGCTGATAATTTTCTGTCTGACTAAGACAAGTTCAATAATATTTATGTGCCTCAGTATCCTCAATGGTAAAATCAGAATAAAAATGATCTACCTCCCTGAGTGAATAGTTAGAAACCAAGTAGAGGAAGACTAATTCCGTGGTCACCAACTGGTCGATTGCAATCGACTGGTCCATCGTGAGGCCTTGACCAGTCGATCGTGAGGCATTCAGGCCCCCCTCCCGAGAAGCCCCACTACCTCCCTCCAGCGTAGTGCCAGCTTCCTGTTGGGTGGATGGACATACTGCCTGCTTCGCACCACTTCCGGGAGTTCCGGAAGTGCGCTGGCTGCTCCCCTCCCACAGCTCTGTGGCGTGCCGGGCGTGTTGCGGGAGGAGGCGTTGGCCCTGGAGGAGGAACACAGCGGCTTCCCTGTACCACAGGAGGGGTGAGTTGAGCACAGGGGTTTCCCTGTGCCGCGGGAGCAGGGGTTGGCCCCGGGGCAGGTGCACACGGGGATTTGGCAGTGCTGCGGTGGGTGGGGGTCGGCCACAGAGGAGGCATGTGCCAGCTTCCCTCTGGGAGAGGGGGAGAATCATGGGAGGAGGCAGGTGTAGGGGACTCTCTGCCCCCACTGGACCCCTGTTCCCTCTCCCTTCTCCCCACCCTCAGAAACCTGTCCCCACTGGCACCCTTTTAGTGGAAGAGCAAACATGATCTTTCGGTCACCCTTATATTCCTCTTTCCATAAGGAATAAGGGGGCTTAGAAAAGAAAGGGTTTTTCTGACATTTGGTCCAGTCTAGACAGGTCAAATGTTAGAAAAACTTCTTCCTACAGAAGAATTGCGGGGGGAAAAAAGCAGCAGTATAAGAGTTGGGGATAGCAAGTAATGGAGAGTAGGAGAGTGGAGAGAGCAGGGCTTCAAGGAAGGGGCAGGGCATCAAGGAAGAGTCAGGGCAGTAGATCTTGACTTGTTCTGTCATTTAAAAAGTGATCTTGGGTGTAAAAAGGTTGAAGACCACTGCTCTAATTAATGCTATATTCTAAGCATCTCTCACTCTTGCCTTTACTGCCATAGTCCTTTCACATCACTATTCCCAGTACAGCTCTCAGAAATGTGGATTCACTGCCCAGGGAATGATGCCTTTCTATGCTGAAGGGTTTAGTGTCCCACATGGTAAATTTCCCATTGTCAGTCTGGCTATAGGCAGAGATCATACTATTGTAGCACTCAGTTATACCCTGGAAAATAATAGCTAGAACCTACGTAGACTAGACAATATTATCCTCAGCCTTTTACATTCTTGGAAGCAAGCTGTTTAAAACATTGTCATTCCACACAACAATTACGTTCTCTCAGGTGGAGTCCCAGCACACAGCATTCTGTGGACTGTTTTATGTGAGCACAATTTATAGTAGTGTCTAAACTTGCACATTCCCGGTTATCTGTGAGGCTCCTTCTGTTGTTTATCTTCCCAATGATCTTCGGACAATTCTCTGTAGTAGGTCAGTGATTTTTCTCCTTTCCTTAGTAGGGCTGTTACCTGCTGAGACTACTCAGCTGGAACTGAAGCCAGCTCTCCTACCTGACTTCCAGCCAGATGTCGAGGCAGAGAAGCAGCTGATCAGAGAAGTAAGCCAAGGAGCATGATCCCCAAGTTGTTTCCTGCTACAGTTTGCACACTTTTATAATCCTCAGCATAAAGGGGTGCTGTGTGACTTTCTCAGTACATGCACCTCAATCTTTGGTCTTATACCACAGACAGAATCTGTGTTGTTGGAGATCGTGTTACAATACTGTTGTTTCTCAACATTCAGAGCTGTCCCATTCATAGGACAGTCCCAGGCCTCACACTTGGAGCAGTCATGTGCTTCAGAGGGTCATAAAGCCTGGACAGCACAGGGACCAGCAGCAGAGTGACTAGCCCTGCTCTGCCTCACTAGCTCCCAGCATCGTTCAGGAGAGGAGGGGTCAGGGGCTCTGGGAAGAATGGGGGCCAAGCAGGAGCAAGAAGTGGTGGGCTGGGGATTGAGCCTGGGACAGAGGTGGATGTCTCAGGCCCAGCACCCCTATAGGACAGCACTGCCAACATTGTTCCATTTTGCTTTGGGGATGGGATAGAATTGGGTTCTCTGCATGGTTTAAATTGCATTGTAGAGATGCCTTAGCTTTCAGCATTCCCTGCTATTCCAGTGTTGAATCTCCTTTCACGAAAGAGTCCAGTGATCCTGATGTGTCTAACAATTGAGCCACGTCCTGAGCTTTCTAGTCACTCCTTACTTAGGCTTTGTTTACACTACTTTTTAAAGTGTAGTTGCAGCAGCACTGCTGTGACAGCACTTTAACACAGCAGTGTGATCAAGGCATTAGCACTGGGAGAAAGATCTTCCAGCGCTGTCGGTAAACCACCTCCATGGGGAGTAGTTAATAGCGCTGAGAACCTGTTTACATTTGCACTTTGCAGCACTGTAACTTGTTGTGCTGTCAAGGCTTTTCCTCACACTAGCATGACAAAATGCAGAAGTGGGGGCTCGCAAGAGCACCCCAAAAACCTTGTCTCTACAGGCTTTGGTACAAAACTTCTCCCCAAAATCATAATACCTGGATTTTGGATAATATCTACTACCACCACTCAAGTAATTCCACAAAAAAAGTCAGGGAAGAGATCATTTGGGAAATCTCTTCCCTAAGGTAAAACTAGGACACCACACTGAACCAATACCAGGTAACTAGGAACAAAGAAAACAAATGTTTATTATCAAAACAAAACTACAGTTGTGAGCATAATAAAGGGCCTAGATGAAAAAGAGCCACCAATTGATTTAGATACTCGGGAAGAAAAGTCCTTGGGTTAGAAAGCTTCCATTACAAAAAGGAGAGAGAAAACACCACTTTAAATAGCTCAGACATCAAACCCAAATTCCCAAACCATAAAACAATAAAACCTGACAGACTATCTGAACTTTGCCCTACTTACACATTGTGAGAAATCTTTTGTTGGAGAGAGATGTGCCTCCCAGCTCCCTGTTACTTGGAAGAAAACGCTCTGACTCAGACAAAGGAGGGCAAAGATAAAAATTCCTTTGTCCCAGTTTGAAATCCCCACGTGCATTGCTATTGGCTGACCAGATACCTGGGTAGGGACAGGAGACATAGTTAATCCTTTAGTCACCAGATGCTGGTCAGCTTTCCTGATTATGACACGCCCCCTCCCAAATCACAGATGGTGCTAGACAGCTTCGGGCCACACTGGCTGTGATTTCTTCTTGGAGGTCTGGGATAAAACATAGTTCATAAGTACATTCACACTTGGAATACATGCAAATCAAGCAAAACCCTTCCACATCTGTGGAGTACCATGACTGACATACAGAGAGAGTCCTAAGTACATGAATCTGGAAATGCCTCTCAGGAGTGGGCATCAGCTACTTTGTTAGAGGCTTCTTAAATGTGTTGTACCTCAAAGTCAAAGTCTTGAAGAGCTAAACTCCACCGAAGGACTTTCTTGTTGGTCGTTTTGACTGAATGAAGCCACTGAAGAGCAGAATTGTCAGTTTGCAGATGAAAACGTCACCTCCACACATACGGTCTTAGCTTCTCTAGCTAAGCACTGCATAGCACTCCTTCTCTGAGACAGACCGGTGACTTTCTCTTTAAGACAATTTTTTGCTGAGAAACACGACAGGGTAAAGTTCTTGATCTGATCCTTTCTGCATCAGAACTGCCCCACACCCCGCTCAGATGTATCTGTGGTGACAACGAAAGGCTTGTCATAGACTGAGGCCCTCAGCACAGGGTCAGACATAAGGGCAGCCTTAAGCTAGTTAAAAGCTTCCTGGAACTTGTCAGTCATTTGACCCCGTTAGGTTGTCTTTTTCTGGTATCCCAGACCCTTGTTCTGCCCACTATCCCATAGTTTAGGGGCTGCAGTAGAAGACTCACTCACCTTGTTTCAGCGTTTGGCCTTTTGTCCCTCAGCAAAACAACAGAGTGTTGGGCCCTTGCCCCGGACCAGTCAGGGCTGAGTAAAAAAAATCCTTCTCTGGCCTCTTGGGGATATGAGCCTCTCACCTTCCCCTGCAGCCTTTAGCAGGGCTGGTGTTGCTCCTTGCTCAGCTTCTCTGAATCTCCATATCACTTGTTTGTTTTGTTCCGTTCCTCTCCACTCTCCAAACTCCTTCTCCACTCTCTACACCCTCCTGCACAGGGAGGGTTTTTAAAATGGTCTCATGGCAGCCTGAATCAGCTTCAGCTGGCCCTTAATTGATTGGTAGCAGCCCTGTCTCAGCTGCCCCTCATTAACCAGGGCAGTTGCTGTTCCTTTTGTAAGAGGGGCCTCTCTCCCCTTCTACCAAGCCCTTTATCCTGCTCTGTCACACTGGTTAGATCTGTTAGTGGTGCACTGATCTCACTGTAGTATGGTACAAATCGCCTGTAATACCCGGCCAAGCCAAAGGATTGGACCTGTTTTTTTTTACTTAGGGACAGGCCAGTTTAGGATAGCCTCTACCTTAGCCTGTAGCCTCCCTTATGTGTTGGAAGACAGCTCGGAGGTGTTCTAGGTGTTCTGCTCATGAATCAGAGAATACGGCCACATCGTCCAGATAGGCCACTGCAAATTCTCCAAATCCGGCTAATAGAATGTCCACAACTCTTTGGAAGGTTACAGGCTCATTGTGCAGCCCGAAAGAAAGAACATTAAACTCATACAGTCCTGCGTATGTAGTGAAGGCTGATTTTTTCCTTTGGCTGCTTCCTCAAGAGATACCTGCCAGTACCCCTTGGTTAAGTCTAGGATGGAGATGAACTGGACACGCCCCAATTTCTCCAGTAGCTCATCTGTGCATGGCATGGGGTAGTTGTCTGGGCGAGTTACAGCATTTAGCTTACGGTAGTCCATGCAAAAGTGGATTTCCCCATCCGGTTTGGGAACTAGGACCACTGGAGAAGCCCATGCGCTCTCCGAAGTGCGAATTATACCCATCTCTAGCACGTCCTTGATCTCCCTCTCTATAGCCGCCTTGGCTGAAGAAGCCGAAGTAGGGTTGGGCCCTGACAGGGCAAGCATCACTTGTGTCAATGGAGTGAAATGCCCGTTCAGTCTGTCCCAGGGTGGCTGAGAACACTGGGGTGAACTGGGTGCACAGATGCATGATCTGCCGTCACTACTCATGACCAAGGCTCAGGGAGAGGCTTACCTCTTCTACTCTGCGCTTGCTTTTCCCATCGTAGCAGGCTCTCTCAGGCCACTCCGCGTCCTCTTTCTCCTGGGCTGTTACCTGAAGAACCTTGACTTCTTGGGTATAAAAGGTCTTTAAAGAGTTGACATGATAGACCTTAGGCTTAAGGTCAGGGTCAGGGAATGCTATGAGGTAATTCACCGTCCCTAGGCGCTCTTGGACTGTGAATGGTCCATCCCAGGATGCTTCCATTTTATTTGCCTTGAGTGCCTTCAGTACCATGACTTGCTCACCTACCTTGCAGGGCCGTTCTTGAAGGAACAGAAGTTTGACACTGTATAGATCCAAGCACAAGGGTTTATTAAGCACAGTGCTAGTGGAGTATCACTTCGCTTATTTTGGATCAGTGAAACTGCCAAACAATGGATTGCTATAGATTACATAGGGTGGCAATGGGCGGAGAGAAGTGATGGGGTGGGAGTTCCCGAGCCCCTGGATAGGTTCTAGCAGCAAGGCATAATGAGCATAATAAGCCAATCTAAAAGATTACATCATTGCTCCACCCATAGCTCAGGTTAACATGTTTGCTATTACACAGGTGTTATCCCTCAAACTTTTCCTCTTACAAGATGTCAGCTAAATCGTGATTTCAGGTCCATAAAAATGACGGTGGCCCACAAGTACATTCCTAGAGAGTCTTAAAGCAAAAAGAACAGTAAACAGTACACAGCAATGACCATTGTGTATAGTTTATCAGTGCATCCTCTTGAGCTCGGGTTGACATCTGTGAAGGAAGATGCCATCACTCAGGCTGACGTGCTAGCCCTCTCCCTGAACTCTGGTTGGCATTCAGGAAGTATGAACTTGTTATCTCTTTCTGAATCACAGAATCTCAGAGGCCCCTCTCTGAATCACATGCCCGTAACTCATGATAAGTCCTCAATTACTGCTCCCCATCTGGGGTTGTGCTGTCTTAGCTTGTTTATGGCTGATTAAACAAACATGTCTGTTTCTTGCTTATCTCAGCTTTTCATTAGCCATGTATTGTCCATTGTTAACTAGGCCTCATGCTTCAGATCAGGCCCGTGGAGTCTGGGCATATGTGAAACATTCTTAACAGAGACTGTGGTCAAGATCTTACATACATATTATTGGGATTTTGGTCTTTCAGTTCTCTGGCACGTTTATCATACCAGGCCTTTTGCTCTTGCTAATTATCCTGCAAGTTCTTCTTCGAGTAGTGTCCCCGTGGGTGCTCCACTGTAGGTGAAGGGTCGCCCTGAGCCTCAGATTGGAGCTTTCTATAGCAGTTTCCCCTGTTGAGCCATTCATGCCCAGGAGGCGTCTCGAGCCCTTCCCGCCTCCTGAGGAGCGTGACTCAACCCCCTCCCTTTCAGTTCCTCTTGAACCGCCCTCGTCAGCAGACGGAGCAAACAGGAGCTCCCTGTCAGACTCTCTGACTACTTTTCTCTCCCTAGTTTAGTCATAGTTCTTTCCCCTGTTATCCCAAGTTACCTTTCCTTGTTTCTTTAAAAAAAAACAACCCCAAAACCTAGTAATAAGAAGAATACACTTACCTAAATTCCCCCTCAGGGGGCTTGAACCCATCTTAAACCGGGACTCTGAGGTACCGGTGTTCTCACAGCTGTTCAACACAGGAAAGAAAGAAGGGTACGTCTACACTACAGCGCTAGTTCGAACTAACTTAGTTCGAATTAGTTAATTCGAACTAAGCTAGTTCGAACTAGCGCATCTAGAACTAAAAACTAGTTCGAACTAGCGTTTTGCTAGTTCGAACTAGCGCGTCCACACTGATTGGACGCAGGGGGGCATTTAAGGGCAGCTGAAACCGGTTCTGGCAGGGCATCAGGTCAGCAGTTGCTTTGTGTGGCTGCTGTCTGAGGCTATCTGAGGCTCGTGCTTAAAGGGACCCCCCTGGACAGCCGGTTCTCAGCTTTTCCTGCTTGCTTGCCAACCTCGCCGAGGGACAGCAAAGCGTCGGTCTCTGTGCCCGTCTGTGTCGGTGCTTCCCTTCGGGGGGGACCGCCGCAGGTGGCAACATGGAGCCACGGCTCGCCCTGCACCTTCTGGTGCACGTTCTGGACTTGCTGCTGCAAGCCTGCCAGCAATGGCTCGAGGCTGCCTGGCACCACCTGGGGAACGTCAGCCCCCTGCCTCTCCGCCTGGCCGCCCTGGGGGCCGTGGTCCCTGCGACACCCCTCCCAGCAATGGCTCGAGGCTGCCTGGCACCACCTGGGGAACGTCAGCCCCCTGCCTCTCCGCCTGGCTGCCCTGGGGGCCATGGAGGAGCCGCGGTGGGCCCCCGGCCCCGGCGTCCCCCGCCGCATCTGGCGTCTGGACACCAGCACCGACTAGTGGGACCGCATCGTCCTGGAGCGCTGGGACGACCGACAGTGGACCCAGAACTTTAGGATGAGGAGGGACACCTTCCTGGAGCTCTGCGAGTGGCTCGCCCCTGCCCTGCAAAGAAGGGACACTCGCATGAGGCCCGCCATCCCCCTCCAGAAGCGGGTGGCCATCGCCCTCTGGAAGCTCTCCACGCCGGACAGCTACCGATCCGTCGGGAACCAGTTCGGCGTGGGGAGATCCACTGTCGGAGC